GTTGTGTGTATATTAAAACATATTTGTGTTAAAAAAAAACTGTGTGCATCAATCTTGTTGGCAAATATCATACATTGGATACATGTCGACATTTATTTAACTACTAAATTTAAATTATCATTTAGCTTGGTTTCAGACCATTCAAAATTGTAAAAAGTAAGAACGTGAAGGCTTGATCTGGAAATATAGTTTATCTGGTAATATAAAATAAGAGAACGTCGATATGGTCAATCAATATCAAAATCAGGAAGTATGCCAGCAAAAGACGTCTATTAGTTTTCACTCAACATATTTTGAAATTTCAAGTACCATTGCCAAACTTTGCTACTATAAACATATATAATTATTTATATATATATATATATATATATATTTATTTATTTATTTATTTATTTATTAGAGAGGGAGAAAATATATGCTTTTTCAGAAATATATTTTTAGCCAGGTTTGTAACCAGTATCCAATTGTACGTTTCAGCTGGACCAATATATCTTTTATGTTAAGGTCAATATACCTTGGTAACTCTTTAAATTGAATTGGATCATCTTAACCTAAAAGACATTTTTCAGACTGTATGATGCAGATTCTAAGCACAATTATTATTTTTAGCCTAGCATCACCAATACCTACAATCAGCTTTGTAGGCCTAATTTAAATAGAAACTTTACACGCACACGCACACACACACACATATATATATATATATATATATACACACACACTCTTGTGATCTTCAATTATTTGATATTTGCTAAACTGCAATAATTCGTCATTTTTTATCAATATTGTTACTTCTTGTTTAATCTGAAGGAAAAATAAGGCGTGTACATGACGTTAAGATAATTTATTTAATATGATCACAAACTAAGTATTTCCCTCTTATGATCTGTACTTGGAGTCTTTTAATAAAATACGCACCCCTGTATACCGCGAGTAACACAAATGAATACACATAAACATCGTTGGACAAGACAAATTTAATCTGGTTGTTAATGACCCAGTCACTAACCAGTCTGACAGATGGGTTTTTAGGTGGCAGCATGGCTTAATGCTCCAAGTTATGTAACGCTAGTGCTGTGACTTAATACATTTAGAAAAGCTTGAAATAAGAATCGTACGAGGTCTTTTGAATAGACCTCATCTTACGAGATTTTATTTCTTTATTAGCGTCACATTTCTAAACATTTGCAACACTAAATCGTAAGCTATGGCAGGAAAGAGTTAGTCTTATAGTTATCAGAGTTATCTTTTGCCATGTATTATTTGAGTAATGATTTTTCAGGTCAAACGTTGAGTCTTTTGTCGGGTCTTCTTTTGCAAAAAAACTGAGCAATGAGTTCGATATGTTACCCACTTTCCAAAACAGAAAATGCCAAAAAAAAAAAAAATCTTTAGCCAGCATAAATGTCTGCTAAGGCTTAACGTGACTCAGTGGAGTTCATTCGTATCGTTGTTCTAGAACTCTTAGGGTTCGTTATCACTAACCAAAGACAAAAGTGTCAGGGATTTCAGGTC